ATTAAATACAGCTTAAAATCTAGTTTAAGCTAACTCTGTTATTTGGTATTTTGCTTTAATATTTTATACTTTATAACATTACATTGTAAGTTGCTTTAAATTATAAACTAATTTACATTTTAAAATAGTCTAACTTAGAAATATAAAAGTTAACCATATTATTAAAGAACTTAAATGAAATAGTAGGTATATATATATCTTATTTATTTATATATATATATATATATATATATATATATATATATATATATATATATTATAAGTATTTATTTAATTTATGGGACCAAATATATGGTTTTATAGTTAATAACAAGTGACCAAAATGTTGACAGGACTATGTTTATTCATTTTTTATCAAATAAATTCGGTCTCTTTTGTTTCACTTTTTCCTTTATCAGGGAAAATAATTCTTTGTTTTTAAATGTTTTAAACATTGAAGTTAATGACCAACCTATAATATTGCGATTGCTTGATTAAACTTCTTATTCACAAAAATAATTTCTATGTAACACTTTTATTAATGTGAACTGCAGCTTCGAACGTTTGTTTATTTTGTGTTTTATTATCTAGAAGGTGTTGACTTTGGCTGACGGCCGGATATTGCACTGTTAGGTAGAACATATTATCATAGAATAGTTAAATTAAATTTTTACTTTTCCTCGTTTTCTCTATTTTTTTTGCATAATTATACTTAAATGTTACGACATTTAAGAAAGCATTGTACGCAACATTGACTATCTTCTTCTACCTGGCAATTTTCCAGCTATAGCCAGGGTCTGCCTTACATGTTGTGAATAGTTTTGGTTAATTGTTTTTACGACCGGCTGCCTGCCTGACATTAACCCTCTTTTTAGGGAATCAGCATTAATCAGTGAGGTCTAAATAATTTTAGAAAGTACATATGACTCGGAAAAATCACATTGGTACTTGCCCGGGCCAGGATCGAACCCGCGCCCAGCATGAGAGGCGGGCCTTTTAACCACTAGGCCACCACTGACTACAACAATATAATTCTAAAATTATTATTTTTTCACCTAAATTCCCTATTTAAATCATTCAACTCAACACTTTATAAATATCTCCAATTAAAGTCTTCCAATGGACTTAGCTACGTAAAGCTAGAACTAATTTTATTCAGTCTAATCTACCTGAGTTGCAAAAACTTTAAGATTACAAAAATTGAAGTCCATTACACTTTTTAAGACCTATCTTTAAACAAACAAAAATTATTAAATAAAGTAATGAATAAGTAATTTATCTTGCTTTCTTTTTAAAGAAAATCTTCTTAAGCAAATGATTCTGATAGAAAATTACAAAAAGGAACTAGTCAGTCAAGAAAAAACTTTGCTAACCTAGAATACCAAAAGAAAGTAAGTTGAAAAGTTTCTTGCATTCTAAAGGTAATTTCATGGAAGTTGTCAATCGTAGGAAGCAAGCATGAAATATAATTGTGAAGTATTATGAAAACAAATTTTTATAACACAATTATAAAAAGACTTCAATAGAAACGTTATCGATCGACAATTCTGTGTAACATAATATTAATAGTTCTCTAATAATACGAACTAAAATACTTGTGAAAGCAGACTCTGTCTTAAAATGGCTTGTAACCAAAGACGTTCCTTATTTTATACAGTGTTTTAAGTGAAAAGCAATTTTTGTTATGATGACTATAGGTAAAGTTATTATTTTAATAAATAGTATTATAACTCCAAAAGCAAACTTTAAATAAACAAATAGCATGTGTGATTTAATACTGATTTAAGTTTTACAACTGTATAGAGAATTATAAACGACGCATTTTAATTGGAATACTGACTAAATACAAAAATCATTTACTATTTAAATAGAAATATGTAGAAATTCCATTGAACTAACGATATTTTAAGCTACTTTGAATATATTTAAATTCAATAAAAAGACAAATTCATATTGTAGTGTAAAATTTTCTTATGTCCTAAATAAAAGATTACTCTTATCACATTAATAATATTATTGATACGGTTTTCTCCTGTACTTCTTATGTAAATAAATGTATAAAAATAGTATCTTAAAAATCGCTAACTATTTAACAATTCATAAAGAAAACAAAAACCATAAATGGAACCGAAGTGAGGTACACCTGCAGTGCAGTGGTTGGAATACAAATATTGTTAGACGTGGCTTTTAGTAGGCCATAAACTTATTTGCATTAATATTATTATAAGCATTTTTAGTAACCTAAAGTCGTTTTCATATCCCTTTTCTTTACTATTTGCATATATTTTTTTGATAATACTAATACCATTATTTTAATTTGAATGTTTCCACTCCAAAATTGTATAAGTTTAATTTAATACTTTTTAAAGGTCATTTAGAAGAACCTGGATACTATGCCAAAATATATAACAAAGATATTAGACACCTTGTAGTTGAAATGTCCATTTTCTAAGTTGAAATTATCAGATGGGCAGAATCACGTTAGAAAAGTGATCATTAAGCTAGCTTAGCACTTTCAGTCATAATATTACTAATGATGATAAAGATAAAAATAAAATTCTTGCAATTCTTCTAATTCTATTGAGAACACTATTATGAAATTATTTACACCCACAGTCACCTCTGTCTCCCACAGTAAAAGAAGTATCTAGTATTGCAATATTAAATAGATTAATAATTAGCACTTTTGTAGTATAATGTTTTCTAAAACATAAAATAAAATCTTGACTACTTTCACTAAACATTAAACTATTAATGCTAACACTAATTTCTCCTCAACATTTTATGTATCCAGAGTACCATCCTAGTTTTCTAATTTTTGAACGAAATATTAGAGAGATAAATTTATTTTTCAGCAATAAATTTTCACTTGGAAAGCACTAAATGTTTTGCAAAAATTTTAGCAATTTAACGGATCTATGATTGCTTATAAATAAGTCTCTCTTTTTAAATTCAAATTGCATCGTTCTTAACTAAAATTCCATCTGATGCAAGTAGCATCGAAGCCGTAGCCGGTATACGCACTATCACAGTTGTTGTTTATTCAATGTTATTGTGTATCCTTGTATAATTTCCATATATACATAAATTGACAATCAGAAATTTATTCGGTTTGCAATTTATTCACAATTTTTATATACATATATATATTATTTTATGAAGTCAGTGGTGGCCTAGTGGTTAAAGGGTCCGCCTCTCGTTGCCGAGGGCGCGGGTTCGATCCTGGCCCGGGCAAGTACCAATGTGATTTTTTTTTTTGTGATGTGATATGTACTTTCTAAGACTATTTAGACATCACTGATTAATACTGTTTCCCAAAAAGAGGGTTGATGTCAGGCAGGCGGCCGGTCGTAAAAAATAATAGCCAAAACTATTCACATCATGTTAGGCAGACCCTGGCTATAGCTGGGAAATTGCCAGGTAGAAGATATATATATATATATATATATATATATATATATATATATATTATTTATTTAAGATTCACCAATGATAATTACATTAATACAATATTGGGTAAAAAGAAATACAGTGTAGTTTAATTCTAATTTTAGTTTTTATATTTTGTATTGGTAAGAATAAATATTACTAAATTTATTATAGATGGGGTGTTTGATCGCCGCATGGTAGAAAATTTAGTTGATTTGGATATGTTGAAACACTTCGATAATAATTAATGTATTGTTTTTAAATTTAAGGTTTGGTATAAATATGTTTAGTATACTAAAATCTACTCTTTAGTTAATGTAAGAAAAAATCTCAGTAATGTGTGGTAATAGGTACTTTAAGTCGGCGGTGCGAGTGAAGGGCTTCAATGTGTCAAGTAAATGATGATCTTTTGTTAAAATTACCAAGAAGTTAATGAATTATTCAACAAAACAAATAAAAATTAAATCAAGCACAACCCATTTCCGACGCTCGCTATGGTTAAACAACAAAACAAAGGGATACAGGGCATGTTCAAAAGGCACTCGATGTTATGTTCATTGTTCATACCTAAGGTATGGGAGTACAAGATTACGCTTCATTTGGTAAAGAAAGAGAACGTATTTTAAGTAAGGAAGAGTTTTAATTACTAATTAATAAACCGAATCTATAAAAACTGTTCTGATCTTATCTGATAAAAACAAAGTAAGAGCAAATTACTAAGTGCCACTTCTAAAAACTGTTTAAGCGTAAAATCACAGCTCTCTTTCAGCATTGCATTTAAAAATAAACTAGACAAAATTATAAAAAGCAAACGATACAACAAAAATCAATTTAAAAGTACAGTGAGGAGGCTTGAACTTTTAGATTAGAGTGAAACTGTTAATTTATTTTAAAACCGAATTATACTACCAAACATGTTTTACATAATAATAATGAAGCCCATATCGCTTTTGAAGTAGCATATAAAAATCCAATAGTTATCCATTTTATATAAGGTCTTAAATTTAGAACAATTTAATAATTAATGTAATTAAGTAAACGAATATTATGAAAAATTTTATACATTTTATACGACCTCATTACTGGTACGTAATTTTCTGTAACTTGAGTTTAATAAATTCGTATTTATCTTATACCTTAATTGCTATATTATTTATATGTTATTAGATAACTCAAGGAGTTGTTAATTACATCGTACATTTTAAATATATCCTTATGTAGTACATATATAAATTTCCTTTTTTCACAGTTTATATTGGTATATTTAACATTAACTGTATAGTTGAGAGATGTTCCTACTTATGTTTCTTAACTAGAAAATATATTCTACTATTAATATTGAGATAATACACAAGTGTATAACGAATGAAATAGTTAAGTAACAAAATTACAGATATACAAATAATATGTACTTGTAAATAGTACGTAAGTATTAAAAACAGAAAAATAATGTTTAGGTAATGTTTGAGAAGTCGTTCTGCCGAGTTAGACTATTATCGAAATCTTATGTTTGCCATAATTAGGCAGCTTTTTAATTTAACCCTACGGTATACAGTGACGCGAGAGGTCGGCTGTAACTACTAGAACGGCACTTACCACTGTTGAACAAACTCGTCATCTCTGTCATCCAAAGGTGAGCGTATGATTGCCATCAAATTGTGAGTCTGAGATGCGATCATGATGCGTGGTCGCCAGAGCAGGTCACATTTAAAAAGCGCTTCGTTAGCAAGATCTGAGCATTCGAATCGACAGCTGACTGAAACGAATAATCAGCGTTAATTATCACGTCGTAAAAAAAGGATTTAGGTTGTGAAAACATTTAAGATTTTAATTTTGTGATATAACTGGCTAACTAAATTTATATGGTATTTTTTTAATTAAAATAAGTATAAAATCTACAAAAAAAAAAACAACATATAATTAACTAATTCAGCGTAATAAAATAAAGAAAATAAAAACATGCGTTCTCAAGAAAATAGAAGGATTCGGACTTTTATTTTACTATACACTATTTCTTAAAATTAATTCCATTTCTTCTTATATTTAAATATATAAGTTTTTACTACACATTGATAAGAAACAAACAGTTTTAAAAATTAAATAACATACTTTTTTATCTGAAAGTAAAGAAATAAATGTAAGGTTTTTTACTTAAATCTTACAGAGCGAGCAACGTAAGTGAAGATTTAATTACACACACAGTTAACTTGAATCTTAATGAGATAACTTTGTTTATTAAGCGGTAAGAGGTAAACAGCAATCAGATTGAAATTCTGTGGTAAAAAGTAGTTTTTAAAAGGATTAAAAATATTTTAATACATAAGTTAAATTTATAGATAGATATCAAAGTAGATAACAATAAATTAATTAGTTTAGAAAACTTATACAAGGATTTCTCAAAGAGTTGAAATCAGATAAGACGGTTAAATTATTATGAACTCTTAGAATTTAAATATATTCATTCCAGTCAGGGAAGGAAAGTTCAATTGGTAGAGGAGCTTGGACGCAATATTATAGACGATGCTAAAACTTGCATCTTAAAAGTTAAATTTTTTCTTTATTTTTCTCCTATTTATTAATGGTATTAACTTACATAAAATTCCCTAGAATTGTACAATAATATAAATTTTACAATAATTATAAATTAAAATCCAAGAATAACTTTCTTTCTTGAAATTATTTCTCAACATACTCTAATATTTTAACTATTTTAAAATTCTATGAATCAGAAATATACATTTATAGGGAATACTTCATCGTTTTTTGTGAATGATATAAATATAATATTATATTTTTACTAAACATTATACTGTTCAAGCTTACATCGAGTAGGTCTTACGTGTAATTTAAATTGTAAGATTTATTTTAACTAAAGTAGTTTAGAGTAGATTCTGGTTTTCCTGGGCCTTCCGTTTGAAACTAACGTAGCTACTTAAAAAATAAATAATAATAAGTAACAAACGTTTAAATATATTGAACATATTTATTAATATAAGAAATTACTTGGTACGTAAGTAACTTTGAAGTACTTACAACCAATAACAACTCGAACTTCTAAACATGTTTCAACTTTTACTTCTATCGCCATTTTATATCTCATAAATATTTGAGAGTTACAGACTATAAGGTTTGGAGAAATGAGAGAGCTGCTAGTGAAAGTACCTTAAACATTGAAAATATTGAGTTTTTCCTGTAAGAAGTTCTATTTTAGTAAATAAAAATGCTGTTTTCTTGTCTTCATGTTTAAAGCAGTAAAACAAAATTCATTATAAAATATTTTTTCACTGAGATAATATATCTTTGCTATAGCTATAGCTCTGAACTTATTTTGTTAGTGTTTGATAAAATAAAAAAAAGTTTGACAAGACACCTTGAACACATCATTTACGAAATATAAGAGAAAAGTTATTTAAAATTTTGTATTTGAACGTTCTTAACTAATCTCAGTGTATTTTAAAAGTTTCTTATAATAATAATAATAACCTCGATACATAATAATAAACTCGATACATTCTATACCGTAAAGAAGGCAGAGGATGTAGTGTAGATAAGGAAACAAAAAGGAAGTGACTTTAGTTTTATGAAAAAATCAGAATATGGTGAAACTTGTCAGTCCAAAGATAAACCTAATACAAAGGTTCTAAAGAAGCTCTAGTTTCACTAATTGTTCTTATTCAAGTTCCGGGCTAACAGGTGTTGGCGTCGTGTAGAATAGAAAGAAGAAGAGAATGAGCTAAGAACATTTTGGTTGAGGTTGGACCAAAATCAAAGCATAAGATAAAAAGAGTTTAATATGAAAATCATATAAGCAATCCGGTGTTTTTTTGTTTAATATTTATCTTATTTCTTATAATAACTGAACTTAAACAATTAAAATATTAAATAACCAAAATATAAAAATTTCTGTTCTTTTTTATCTATTTGAGATTGTACAGCTACAGCTTCTATGTTATTTTGACTTCTTTGCGATTTATAGTTCACTGAATATAGGATGAATTATTTCACTTCAATTATCATCAAATACAATTCAATTAAGTTCATGCAACACCTCTGTATTAATTGAAATCAATTGTCTAACCCACACCACAAATGCCATTATCATAAGTTAAATCAGTTATGTAATTACAAGAAATTGTGCTACAGACGCAGGCTATTCGTGTTATTTATAAGAAATGAAACAACGTCATTGGAGGACAAAGTTTATGGACATAAAAATACATAACGGTACGAGATTCAAATAAGTTAAAATTATTATTAAAAGTAAAAAAATATATTACTGTTGTAACATTAACACAAAAAACAAGAAAAATCTTGTAACCTCTACGTAAGATAATATATGTTTGAGTATTACGCTTTTCTTAAAAAAGTTCTTAAAAAAGTTCCCATAAAGCCTTTAAAATTTATAGTATTATAGTATTGCCGGTAGGAAATAATGTTGATATAGATTATATTCTACATTAGTTAGCACTGATACCTCGTTATCTGTGAATTTCTTGCACTATTTTCCATCAATTCCATCCATATTTTCCATATATACATAAATAACATTTCCATCCAATACTTGAAGAGGTAGTTATTCTAAGGCTGGAAAAGACACCAATAATATTGAAGTGGTCATGATATAGCCGAACATCCTTATAACATCTTTTTATTTTGGTCTCGATTTAGTTTGGAAACTTATTGCAATAACATTTAAAAGTCTGCCACTATAATAATAAACTGACGAATTTCTTGGTTTTATCTTTTTGATTTAAGCAAAATTTTCATAATTAAGTAGATTTATTACTTCAAGCTATCTATTTTAAATTATCTATGGATATATTTGTAACGTTTGTTTTGATTTTTAAAATATTTAACATTAAATTGGACCTAAAGAAAAAGTTCCATAAATACATATGTCAACATTAAATGTAATACTTTTAAGCACGATTATGTCTTTTACGAAATTACTTAATACATATATTTTTTTACTTAAGAGAAATAAGAAAATTTGTTAGATTATTTAAAATTCTGTGCACGATATGGCAGTATTATTTAAGGGTATGTAATCTTAAATTATAAAGTTAAAAGTTTTATAATGATTTACTTCGTTGTGAAAATCGACCCACTTTATTTGCATTCCATCGTGATCGCATCGAAATCAAGAGTGTTTCGTATTCTCCTTCTCCGAATGCCTTTATTTTATCGTTGACCTTTTTTATTTCACAAATCATATCATAGATGTAGCTATGAACATGATTTCTGAGTAAAATTATATTTCACATTGTAGAACTTTATTAATAGATATATAATTCAGTGAAAAACAATTGTTTTATCTTTTAATTGTAAATCAAAAAGATAATGGTTATATATAAAATTGGCGTAGTAAATTTATTAAAATATAAAGATAAATAATTTTTATGAATAATACAGAAAATCATCGTGATTAAATATGATGACGAATTTTGTATTATCTTTTAATGTCCAAACAAACCATAGATACTGAATAAAGTGTATAGGTAGACGCAGAGGATCGGAGAAACTGAATAATCATATAATCAACATTTTTATATGTTATAATGATACCTCGATGCAAGTAAAACTTTTATTTAGGCATGTAAGTGTTAAAGTGAAGTTAAGGAAAATTATTAGTACTTATAGTTTGAGTTTACAAATTGGAAAATGGAAATAATGAGAGAAATTTAAAATATAAAAAAAATATATGCGATTTGGAAGAAATAAAAATAATCACTTAGAAAATAATGTTAAAATAGTAGTACTGTATAAAGTATTTTTACAAATCGCAGAAAAACTTCACAATTTATAAAGCAGTTATTGCAAAAAAGAATGAGAAGATAAATTCTACATGGATAAGACTGATTGAGTTTTTCCCAGGGTCTTTTGTTTTAACGAAAATATTAATTTTTTTGTGTATCATAAAAGTTTTGATTTAGAAATAACTTAATTATTTTGTTACAAATCGTATACATCGAAGTATGGAATAATATATAGAGGTAATAAACACTAACTGCTTCATAAATTTGAAATTGCGTGCTCCTAGTTTGGAAACTGCAATAAATTATATCGAAACCTAAGTAAATATCGACAAATTTATTAATTGCATGTTATCTTGTAACATGTCTAATTCGTTTAAGTTAGAAGTGTCGACAAAATATCCTTATATATCAGTTGTTTTGTAATAGTCAGGATAAAACTGATATTCTAACGAGTATAACCAGTGGTACGATATATGTAGCTTTATATCTGACTTCTAGTGCTGCCCAGTTAATAAATATAACGCTTTTAATTGTTTTATATATAACATTTTTACTCTTCCCCTCCCCGATTCCAATTAAAACCAAAACGTTGAATAGTAAAAAACACATGGCACTTGAATTGCTTTAAGTGCAATCGTGCGATTATTTGAATTCCATAGTCAACACTCAATACAACTGGCTTTTATAGGGTTATCCAAATATATTCTGATATGAGTGTTGATCGAGCAAATGTGAAGAGTCCAGGGCAAAAATTTTAAAGCTGTTGATAATTTTTTGGTTACTTCTATATATATGTACATACATATGTGCTACTGTGATTAGTACATTGATAAGTCTCTAAGTATTTAAATATGAATAGATTTATATATTAAATTTGACCTTTATGTAGTGATTATGCACTCTTTAAATAAAATAAAAGTGTTTAAATAAGAATGGTGATGTCACCAAAATATTCCGCAAGTCTATTGTGAATGAAGTTATAGCATTAAAAAAATACTCACATCGAGAATTTTTCCCAGATAAACCTATTATGTGTGTCAAAGTAATGGTAGTGTGTGTTATGTTGGTATAATCTAATACATTTCATTAAAAACTAGCTTTGTATATTATTTTTAATATAAAATTTGATTGTTCTACATTTTACGTCAGCCAATTCTCTTAAAAAGAGGTACAAAGTTTCTAAAACCCGTCTATAGTTCATATAGAGACTAATATTGTTCATAATCATACGCTAATGTGTACAAAGAAATATTTTCTAGGCCATTTTCGTAACTTTCGCTATATTTTTTAACACTATATACAATTGGAAATGGCGTCAAGGAAGATTGAAAAATGAATGAATTTCATTAAAGTTCAAACTCACAAGAAGCGGTTGTCGCTTTATAAAAAGTAATGGCATATTAATATTTTTATTACAGTTGTAAAAATAATACAATTTCAGATTTTCATCTGCCATTGAATATTGTATTTAAATTGTATTGCTGACTTCACAATCATATTTCACGCATTGCTTCCTCGCATTGATTAATGCTAGTGGAGTTCTTACTTTGGAAGATAAAAATAAAACCACGAATGTGTTTTTTTATGGTTCGAAAATAAAATAAACGGCACTAAATATACTATGCATATCACGTGACTATGTATTGTTAATCACATTATGTAATGACACCAAAATTCTATTATTTAATATAAAAGTGATACAAAACCGAATTGATAATTTTTTTTATAATCATATATGTAATTTTAAAGCAATAGAGCAGGATAGCACGATACAGTTGAAAAACAAACGAGGCTATGTCGTTAGGTTAGTTGAGTCATTAATACTAACTTGTGGTCTCTGAAAATGTAAATTTAGAAACTTAAGTTATATTTTTTGTTCATATATTAAGCAGCATATTAATTAATGAATATTAAAGTATATTTGATTCAATTATTTTTATTAGATCTGTTGTTTTAAGAAACATTTTAGTTGTATTTGTTTTTAAAGCCAACCGTATTATAATATAATTGATGAAACAATATATTTTTTGCAAGGAATTTTCGCAGCATTAGAATGAATTTTTTAAATGTTAATAAACAACTTTATTTTGCTCTACAAAGCATGCTACTAAAATCCCTCTCTGGATCAAACTTTAGTAATTCCGAACTACATTTTAAGCTCTTCTTAAATGGTTGATTAAGTACTAGTTGGTAAGCTCAGCTAATACGGTATCACCCTGGGATTATGTTGTTTTTAATTTTATCTTTTTTACTCATATATCTTTAGTGAACTTAAAACCCTAATAAGGTGGAATATGTGAAAAATAGGTGGACAATATATACACATATACAT